AAGAGCTCTCAAGAGGGTGAAACCCATAATCGATTAGATGGTTATTGAGCTTCGGAGTTAAACAACATTGACGAGACGAAAAAACTCGAGCCGAAAAAGAGCAATTCACCATTTAGGTTTATGGATAAATTTAAGAGCTAGAGGAGGCGCGAGAAAATGTCTTATGAGCAGAGTCACGATGGTGGTAGAGAGAAACGCAGAATCTGAAAGACACATCGCATATGGAAACAAAATGACTTTTCGTCAGAGTCTAACACGTTGAAGAAGACATCAGAAAAGAAAAAAAGTATTTTTTAAAAAAAAAGTATTTTTTTAAAAAAAAATTGAGACTTTGTTCTGTTCCCAAACATCATCGATGTTATCTAGAGAAGACGGAAGAAGACAAAACACACATGAAACTAAAATTTTAAACAAACCTGTGATCCAAGATAACGCCGCTTCTCTTTCTTTCTCTCTCTCCTCGCCGAGAAGAGAGAGAAGAGGTTTCCAGCTGTGTCAATGGCGCTAAAACAGAGAGAGATTCAGACAAGAGTAGATTGAATCGCAAAATGTAGGAGGAATTTGGCTTTGTTTTGTCCTCTTCTTACTTATAAATCTGAAACTCTCTCTCTCACACACAAACACAGACACACACCAAGATTATTATATAGATGCAGTCGAGCACAATTATATGGCTTTTTTTTTTAATCAACTGAATATTTCATTTATGAAAGGTAGAGGTCTAAATCGAGCAAAAACAAACAGTATCAAAAAAAAACAGCAGCATCTACGCCTAATATAAAGGACATAAAAATACTGATGACCCTATAAATTGAATAACTTTGATGATAAGAGAGTCCGTCACACTCCAAGCTATCCAATCAGAAGCCTCTTTGTGCGTCATGTCTTAACCTTTCATGGAGCCAAGCTGGACCTCCAATGGATAGATAAGACTGCAATCTTCCATCCCTGATCACACTTTTCGCAATTTCCTGAGCTATGTGGTTTGATTTCGCAGATTCCAGCTCAAAAGCAATAGCATTAAGCTCGTTCCCCAACCGGTTAATCTGCTCAGTAAGCATCCGATATCTAGGCCATTCTGCAGGTTTTGTAATCGCAGCATACGCCTCTTTACAGTCCAAGGCCATCGTTACATTGGTTATGCGTAGGTCTCTCAGGCTCTGTAGAGCCCATATAACTCCTTTCAATTCCCCGGTTATGCGGTTAGGCGTTCGTAAGAAGGCATCTCGGGCATGAAACGTTGTATTACCCTCATGATCTCTCACTACCCACGCCCCTCCACAATGTGATCGAGCATTCCTCCAATGTACATTAAGGTTGCATTTTAGCCTCCCCGCCGGTGGTGCCTGCCATCGTTCCTCAATGAACCGATAACCCGCTTCTCCCATGTCCTCAGAGTTCTCAGGTTTGTTTGCTTCAGTCCAAACATTGGCCTCCTCCTTACTGCGTTGTAGAACCCTGGCACTTGTCTCATGACTACCTGCAAATAATCCTGCATTCCGGTTTTTCCAGATATCCCATATAATCCACAGAATGGCATGTCTAAGGTCTGTTGGTACCACTTGTCTTTGTATGATATCAAAGAGAAAGCCCATGTTCCCTTCAAGTGAGTTGGAGAAACCATCCACTGGTAGATGTATGTTAGACAAATCCCATACCTGTTGGGCTACAGGGCATCTAAAAAGCACATGGTTGATTGTTTCTTCCTCTTCATTACAAAGCTTGCACGTCATATCCAAAAGCATCCCTCTTGTGCTTACCCTTTCGCCACCGCTAAAGCTCCAGAAAGGACCCGCCACAGAAAGAACTTTATTTTGGGTTCTGTTCTGAACTTCCATATGCGCTGCTTCAGAGCCACTCTGGTTTCTTCCAATGGTGATAACGGAGGTTGTGGCAGGACAGGGTGGTTTGCAGCGAACCAGTATCCACTCTTAACTGAATAAGCATCATCCCTTATGTAAACCCAAATATGTTGGTCTGCTACTCTTCCCAACGGCATATCCATGATTCTCGCCGCATCAGCTGGAGGAAAAAGCTCATTAACTCTGTTGGGAATCCATTTCCCATCCGGCGAAATTAAGGATGAAACTTTCAATTCCAAGTCCATTTCACGGTTCACTGGTCTACGAGGGTGATCATCCAAGATCCACTTCTCCATCCATACATGAGTAGTGACACCATTCCCGATTGATTTCATCAAGCCACGCTCTAACAATTCCTTCCCAAAAATAATGCTGCGCCAAGCATATGAAGGACGATACCCCTTTCCACAACTTAAGAAATCTTTATTCGCAAAGTATCTTCCTTTGTACAACCGAGATAACAAGGTATCAGGCTCATTAAGGATCTTCCATGCTTGTTTGGCTAACAAAGCTTGATTGAACTCCTCGATGTCACGAAAACCTAAACCCCCCTTCGCCTTAGATTTACACATTGCTCGCCATGATATCCAATGAATTTTGTTACGCTTTTCACACGAATTCCACCAAAAGTTCGTCATGGCTGTTGTAAGTTTCTTACAATGATGCTTGGTCAACCTAAACCAGGACATCGCATATACAGGTAGCGCCATTGCGATTGATTTAAACAGTATCTCTTTACCTCCAAGCGATAATGTTTTTGCATACCACCCATGGAGCCGTTTGCTTAACTTTTCACCGATAAAGGCTAAAAATTTCTGCTTGGATCCACTAAAACATTCCGGCAGCCCCAGGTATTTGCCATCACCTCCTTCCTTGTCAATGCCAAGAAGATTCGAAATCAGGCGACGCTGATACGGGTCTATAGCCTCCCCATAGGTGATAGCTGATTTCTGGAAGTTAATTAGTTGACCAGAAGCATCTCCATACAACTTTAAGAATCTTAAAAACTCTGTACACTCTCGCAGATTAGCTCGGCACAGAAAGAAGCTATCATCTGCGAAGAGTAGGTGTTGTATAGGTGGACAATTCGCTGTAAGGCGCATCCCCGTTATCTTTCCTTCTTGCTCTGCTCGACTCATTACGTGAACTAGCGCCTCAGCACAGAGAATGAACAAAAAAGGAGACAACAGATCCCCTTGACGAATGCCTCTCTCAGGCTGAATATGCCCGTGCAATCCCTCATTTAACAGTACCGTATAAGACACAGACCGGATGCATTCCATGATCCATCCCGACCATTGAGGATCGAAACCCATCTTGTCAAACAATATCTCCAGAATTTTCCATTCCACTCTGTCATATGCCTTCGACATATCAGTTTTTATGGCAATGAAATCCTCCTTGCAGTTTGGGTTTGTTTTCAGACCATGGATCATCTCATGTGCAATGAGAATGTTGTCCGATATCAGCCTTCCTGCGACAAAAGCTCCTTGCGTTTGAGATACCAGTTGTGGCAGAAACCGCTTTAGTCTCGTACATAAAACTTTGGATATAATTTTATACGTAACTGAGCAGAGACTAATGGGTCGTAAATCTGTCATCTTGTTCGGATTCTGGATCTTTGGAAGTAGACAGATCTGCGTATGGTTCCATTCCTGCGGTAGTTTTCCATTCTCAAAAAACTGTTTGACCTCATTCATCACATGGGTACCCGCAATCCCACAGAAGTGCTGAAAAAATTTGCCACTCATGCCATCTGCACCAGGAGCACTATCTCCCTTAATGCCCTTTACTGCTCTTCGAATTTCAGCCTCCGATACTGGCTTTGTTAACTCACGGTTCATAGAATCAGTGACCCGCACTTCCATACCTTGTAAGAGTTCCGACACATCCCCAATATCAGATGCCTTAAAAAGGTCCGTGAAGTACTCAACTGCAATGGCTCCCTTGGCTTCTTCCTCAAATCTTTCAACCCCATTACTATCAAGAAGAGAAACAATGATGTTCTTAACCCTTCTTGACTTAACCCATCCATGGAAAAAACCAGAATTGCTGTCCCCAACCCTCAGCCATTTCTGTTTACTTCTCAATTTCCAATACAGCTCTTCCTCGTTAGTTGCCTTAGTTAGCTCAACACGCAGCTCCTGCAACTTTCCAAAATTTGGCGAGACTTTAGAGCTTTCATTATCAAGCTCCTGCTGTAGTGCTTGTAATCTTACTCTGGAGTTCGTATTTGAGACCTTTTTCCACTTTGATAGCTCTCGTCTGCAGTTAGCTATACGGTCTAAAACTTTACCATTAGCAGGGCCTCTATACCATCCTTTTCGCACTGCTTCCATCACACCTGGCTTTGAACACCATCTTCGATCAAACCTAAACCGACCTCTCCTCGGTCCATTAATATCGGCAATGCGCGTAAAAATAGGCCTATGATCTGACGGCTATTTCCTTAAATACTCCGTTTGCGACATCGGAAATAATCTGAACCATTCAGCATTCCCAAAAGCCCGATCCAGGCGACATTGGATCCAAACTTTATTTTTCTGCCCATTTGCGTCTATCACCTCACGCATCCCACCTCAGGACATAAGGTTTCCAAAACTCGGCGTTTCCTTGATGCGACACTCCCGAATGAAAGATCGAAAGGCTAAGAAACTGGACTCAACACGAGCAGGACCTCACAATTTCTCCCTACCGCTTGTAATCTCATTAAAATCACCAACAAGGAACCACGCCTCCTCTCTGTTCTCACCTATAGACAAGATCAAATCCCATACATCTTGACGTCTACTCCGTACTGGATCTCCATAGACAAACGTCATAAAGAATTCCATTGATCCCAGTTTGACCTTTGTATCAATAATCCGACTATTCAAAAATAAGACATCCACCACATGTGAATCTCTCCAAAACAACGCTAATCCTCCGCTAAGACCCAGTGGGTTTACCAAATGAAGGTGGTCGTAACCCAACGATCTTTTCAAACCAAAGACCACTTCACTAGAGTTTTTAGTCTCTAGGAGAAACAAAAAATCCGGGAAATCTAAACGGCACATTTCCTCAAGGCGTCGAACTGTCGAGTTGCTCCTCAAACCTCGACAGTTCCAACTGAGTGTCGTCATTGGGAACTGGATGGTTTCAGGTGAACCATCGAACCTTTATCTTGTTTAGAAATCTTGTAGATTCTATTGCTTTGCGCTTTGAGGACTGTTCCATCTCCTCCGCAATTGCACGTTCAGGTACAAGTTGAGTTGTAATTTTCACTCCTGAGGTAGCCCGTTTCCTCCGCAACCATGAAGAGCTAGTTTTTTGGGACCCCCTGCTATTGGCACTCAGATGAGAGGAGCATGGAACAGCAATACCCATACTAAAACCCGCTGCAGTAGGTGGAGGTATGAAATTATCTGATCCTTCCATAGTATCCTTCGCAACTTCCCGAACACGTATCTCCCCTGCGCTAACCACCTCGTTGACATTCTTATTCCACAAAGTATTTGAGCACCTTTGTAAAATATCATTATGTTCGTTAAGGTCAGGTGTTGTACCCGTAGTACCTTGACCAGCCCGTGAGGTACTTGGGGATTTAGCTTGCAAATTTTCCTGATCTCCTTTGGAAGCTGAGTGTTCCATTTCCACAGTCCTGAAATCAAAGACTTTTCCTAACCTTTTATCCAACACAGAAGAGATAACAGGTGGAGGCTCCAATCGGAGGATGGACCGCTGAGCAATCGGATCCTTGGATAAGTCATCCAAAGCCTTTTTCATTCTGTGTTCTCGGATTACCTTTTCTGTAGGATCTGTACAATTCATGTACAATCTCATTTCCTCAAAAACCTCTGGTGCCACGGTGGTTTGCAAAGGTGTGAACCCGGTAGGGACTGAAGGTGCCAGTAATGGCATGAGTTTGTCGGCCAGATCCGTGTGGTGCTGACGAGGGGCCTGTCCACTTGATCTACTAGAACTGCCAGCCTCCGGTTTGTGATTAGCACCTGTCTCATTGCGTTTTGGTTGTCTCTGTAACAACGGACATTTTTGTTTTTCATGCGTCAACCGAAAACAGTTGAAACACTTTTTTCCTGATTTTCTCATACTCTATTTCCACCACTGCGGTACCTGCACCTCTTGGGAGATTAATTACCCGTGTGTCTCGAAGAGGCTGTTCCAAGTCAACGATAACCAAAGCCCGAAAAAATTCCTGAAAGCGAGATTTTTCAGGATCAAACAGAATCTCTTTTACTTGACCCACTTTGTTTGCAATGGCATCAATTGTCTTAAGGGTGCAAAAATACAGAGGAATTTTACTGATTCTTATCCATATTGGTGCCGTTTTCAAAAAATTAACCGGAGGATTTTCCACCCATCTATCTAAAACCATACTCCAATCATCAAAAGACCAGATACCATCTTTCATCACCGTTTCAATGTCTGTGTCGCGCTCGAAGATAAACTGAAAGCTCTCCTTAGACAACGCAATTCCCCTTACCCTGTTGTAGACTTTCCAGATACGCGGCATTATCCGAAGCATTCTCGCCATATTCTGACATTCTGGATTGAGAAGCTTCCCAATCAAGCTTCTAGAATTGACTTGTACTGCGCTGTAATCCTCTTCATCTGGTATGTCAATTGCCTCTTCTTCCTCCAATGACATTGATTGTAATGCTTGATTCAACACTCCATCCATCATCAACAGAAACGATAATTTCTCTGTTTCAAAACTATGATTTGAGTAGAAAAACCAAAGAGAGCTTGAGGATGGCCGCTTGTCTTCCTTCGAAAACCCTAGAAGAGGAGCGATGTCATGTTCGATTTTAGAAATATCGAATCGAAAACCTTCCAAAACCAAAGAAATTCTGAGCAAGAAATGGAAATTTTCCTTCTTTTCAATAGTACCGCAATTTGCCTTTCGGAGGGAAACTCTACTGTCATAAATGTTAAGAGCAAAGACTCTAACTGAGGGAAAGAGGCCTAAGCGAAAATTAGAGAACTTCGCCATGTGTTGTGTATATCGCACCAATTATTCTTTAATTATATGGCTTTAAATAATAATAGTGGCTAATTAATAATTATCTGTTCATTCAAATAATTACCATTTATCAAATAAGAACAATTCCTTTCTTTTGTCTGATTATTTGATTAACAAGAAGAACAACAACGTCAAAAGAAAATAAAAGAACATATATAATTATCTTTTTGGTTAAAAAAAGAACATATAAAATTGAAATATAAATATCTCTAATTTCAAATGTTTCAAATTTCATTCGATTGAATAATCTCGATGTTTCTATTGGTTATTTTGGTTTCCATTACTCCCAAAGTTACCACTTATATATAAATGTGTGGGCATCATATCCCTATTCTCAATTCTATAAAAACTTTAAGAAAGTGCAATTAAGACTTTGAAATTGGATAAAACATAACGACAACACTAGTACAAACTGAATAACTTACATATGCGAGTTACGATAGTAAAATATTTGATCAGATGTAATAGATTTTTTTTTATATATGCTTACATTAAGTTTGTTTCAATGGTTACATATGATTAACCAAAATAAAACCAAACCAACACACAATTGGGAAAAGAAGAAAAAAAAATACACACAATTGGGAGGGAAAAAAAAAATACACACAAGATTACCTTACCGAAATCAAATGTAAGTTCATCAGTCCAGCTTTGGTAGGTTTTATTTATTTTTATATGATTATATCAAACCAAATTAAACCAAACCAAATTAAAACCAAACCAAACCAGTGCTTCGGTTAATTTGTTGGCAAAAACAGGTTTTATTATAAATTCTTTTTATCTTGTTTACTTGCGAAGCAAGTATGATGCTTCTTCCTGGATAACCTTCCATGCCTCCTTCACGTGCTTCTCTTCCGTCAATGGCGCTCCTATGGCGCAACGTAGTACAATTTTTCCCGACAAAGCCTGTTTCCCACGTAAGCCAATACATATATATATATATATATATATCTTAGTTAATAACATTATATATCCAACAAGAAGAAAGAAAGAACAAAAGAGAGAGATGTCACTTACAGTGTGAGAAAGGAAGAGTTTCCCTGAAGAGTTCACTGCGTCTAGGAGGTTGCGGTTTTGGTTATTACACTTCTTTTCATCGTTTTCCGCAGGCACGATGCGGAAACAGACGAGAGAAAAGATCCGAGGAGTGACAATCTGCAAACGATCGAGAATAAATTAAATCACCTTATTGTCATCAAGAACATTTTTTTTTTTCCGGAAAGTTAATTTGTGAGGTTTTTACAGTTACCTCAAAGTTGGGATCTTCAGACACAAGTTGTTCGAAATCTTTAGCCAGTTTGATATGGTTTCTTATATAGCTCTTCAAGTTCTCAGATCCATAGAGTCGTAAAACCATCCATAGCTTCAATGATCTGTCAAAAAGAAAACAAAGACAAAACTCAGATTGTATATATGTATGCCAAATATGCTTACAAAACTTTCAATTTTCTGCAAAAGCAAAGTACCTAAATCTTCTTCCGAGAGGGATTTGCCAATCTTTGTAATCAACAACCAAGTTTGCCTGAGAGGCCTGGCAAACCAAAAAAAAAAACCAAGTGGATAGATAAGACAAATTAAAGTAATCTAATAGATTCGAAGAAGAAAGATTAATTGCAGTTTTTTTGTTGTTGTAAAAATCAAAATCATCCTTACCTTGTTTTTGAGAAACTCTGGATTTGTTGAACGAGCTTCAGTGAGAGCATACTGATCCTGTTTATCAAAATATCAGCATTTCTTTTTTTCAATAGGCGAAGAGAAAAAGAACAAGGGAGAAAGTGAGATTAAAAGGCATATATATATATATATATATGTACCTTGACCCAAAGAAGGGAACAATCGAAATTAGTGAGGAACCATTTGTGAGCATTCATGTTAAAAGAGTCTGCAGTTTCTACTCCGTCAATGTATTGTCGATACTCTGGACATATACAGGCACTTCCAGCGTACGCTGCATCCACGTGAAACCACATCTCATTGCTCTGTGAATGCAGTAAGAGAGAAAGCATCAGTTCCTATTCGCTATCATGAATCTTGTCATGAAATTTGAAATGAGAAAAAATAACCTTTGCGATCTCTCCCAGTGCAGCTAATGGATCAACTGCGGTTGAAGAAGTGGTTCCAACCTGGATATAACAAATGGTTTTTTATTTTCAGACAAAACATGCTTTCAAGAGGGTAAGTAACAGGCAACAGGATGATTCTTTACATTAGCACATAAGAAGAATGGAATCAATCCAGCTTCAAGATCCTTAGAAACAGCTTCTTGAAGCGTTTCAGGACGCAGAGCGTAATTTGTAGAGTAATCTGCTTTGAGCACCCTGCAATTCTCTGGATGGATTCCAGCAATCTATCAACAGTAAACCTTAAGTAATTAGCTTCTTACGCAAAAGGTTCTTGTTTGAACAAAATTCTCGAAAAAGAAACTCATGCCTGGCAAGCTTTCTGTAAAGCTGAATGTGTCTGGTCAGAGGAGTAGACAACGAGCTTCTCAAGCGCCTTCTTGCCAACGCTTCTTAAAACCTTGTCCCGGGCAGCAATCAGAACAACAAGTTCAGCTTCACTAGCTGACCCTTGGATTACCCCTCCTCCATTCCCTATTACAACAACACTTAGCTACATGTCTTAATTAAAGCAAAAAGGAAAATTAAGCTTTTATATAGAGATGTTATTAATTACCTCTGGAGAGAAACTGCTCGGGTAGGTTGAGTAGCTTGGCAAGCCAATCAAGAACAATCATTTCGAGCTCGGTGGCAGCTGGAGAAGTGATCCAACTAAAACCAACGATTCCAAGACCAGCACTCAACATCTCACCCAAGAAACCAGCAACGCTACTGTTAGAAGGGTAATAAGCAAAGAAACTCGGGCTTTGCCAATGCGTTACTCCGGGCAATATCTTGCCCTTAACATCTGTGAAATAAAAAATCGATTTTTAAGTATTCTATTCTCAGTTCATCAAAAACTCGAAATGGGTTATTCAGTAATTTAATTTTCACCATCAAGAACTTCTTCAAGCGTTTCAGGTTGGTCTGGTGCGGAATCAGGCAGAAGGTTATGAAGATAACCAGGCTGTAATCGACAAGTAAATTATCAACATTGTGAATAAACCAGAGAGATTCAGAAACTCACATTAGCAAAAGCCCACTTGATGAAATGGTTAAAACCGTAGAAACATTGAGATTTCACTGAAATTATGAGACTTTTTTTCCAAGCCTTAAATCCGAGGAAACAGATTGAAAAACCCATAAGACCCACATCGAATTTTGATTTCCCGAGGAAAAGAAAAGTGACCTGAACTTGGCTAAGAACAGGGAAGTCTTCGATGGTTTTGTAATAGTCGGCAATGAAATCAACCATTCGATGTCCGTACTCTCTCAGTTGCTCAGAGTCCATCGGCTTCAACACGTTCTTATTACCATTTTCCCTGTTCCATAAGAAAACAAAAAACCAAAAACAAAAAAACTCAGGCAAGATTCGTCTGAAATCATGAAAAACGGAAAGAAAGAGGGATTTCCCAATTTTCAACAACTTACATTTTGCTTTTCGCTTCGAATTCTCGTGTTTCTGTTATAGAGTAGAAAGCTTTGTGAATGGTTTGGGTTTCAATTGGGAATAGATGATATCTCTTATTTATAGGACCGGGATTTTTTTTATTTAAATTTTTTAGACAATATAAATATTTTCATGATTAAAAAATAAAATAAAAATAAAAGTAGTCTCTGAAGGTTTTATGTTGTCCACCCAAATCGTGTTATCAAGACTCAAGAGGAGGGTACTGAGAAATGGCTGACCCCAAAAATAATAAGAAAATGGTGATAGGAGTATTTTCTTACTGTTGATTTGAAATGATAATATTATTTAAAATTCTTCATCACATTGTTGGTTTTTTCAAAGAATTTTATACACTCCTTAATTTTGGATCGAAATTGTTATATTATTAAACTTATTTGCTGTAAGCTATTTACCTAACTCCATTACGAAATTTGTTAACAAAATAAAGTTCAATAATGACTTTTATCAGTTTATTTTATGTCTTTTACAAAAAAAAAGAAAATGATTTTTATGTAGGTCAGAATTTTATGTAAGTCAGATTTTACATCTTTAAGTGTACAGTTAATTTTGTTTAACATAAGAAAAATATATGATGGGTTGTTTATTGCAGGAGACTGTAGTTAGCTACAGTCTGCTGCAGCATCCGTCCAAAACTCTAGAGGCTATCGATTAAAAATGTTGCGATTAGTCACAGAGACCAAATGTGCAGCTATCAAACGAACAATAACTAGTTTTGTCTTACCACAGCATCTAGCCGCAGGGTGCAGCCGACGGGCAAACGAACATGCCCGATGTGTTGACGTTTGGTAAGTTATTCGTCCACTAGAGAGTGAACATATTTCATGCTCCAACTAATAATGTATAGTAAAGAGTCTCTCCTTCTGATACATCTAATTAAGGTATTATCTCCCAAGTACAATAGCGCGCATGGTCGGAAAGACACAAATGGTTTTGTGACTTTTGTCCTTAATTTCGAGAGCTTTCTGATAACCGTTAAATTCAAAATGCATGGATTAACTTGACATAACCAGACGCGAGTCAGTACTACAGACGGAGAGTGGTTCATCATGTGTCTAGGTGTTGATCAAGATAATCTTAAAACGTTCAGTCCGCCATTTAATAAAATTGAAGGTAGTCTTTTTTTATTAAAATAATGATAATTGACCGAAGAAAGTCAAATCAAGGGTGGAGGGTGTATCACTCAAAAAAATTAGAATATATGATAATCACGTGTGTTTATGTGTATATGTATACATTTTCAAGAAGACATATATATATATTGATCCTTTCAGGTCATTCGTTGTCCTCTCTCCTCTAGGTTCTCACCAAATTTGTGAGATGACTAGTGTTTTATAGAGAGGTGTTACCTAGTTCGAATTTTGTAATCTGGTTTGTAGTTTTAGGTTAGGTCATTCTTGTAGTAAAATCCTGGAAGCGAGCGATATTGTATTCCACTTTTGGCAATAATGAAGTGATGATTTAGAAAAACGTTCATTATTAATTGAAAATTCCTGCGATGGGAGATTAGGGTTTCTCCGTGCCTCCGCCGTTCGACGAAGGCCTCACGCCGAGTCGGAAATTTCTCTCTTCCTTCTTTCTTCTTTCTTCTCTCTTCCTTCCTCCCCCATGGCTTCTGATCCAATCCCTAGTCAAGAAATTCCTCAGGATGTGCCCGCGCCTCCCTCTGATGCGGTGTCGCCTCAGGATAATCTCGCTCCTTCCTCAGTTTCTCCGGCTGGAGATTTGGCCATTTCCGATTCGGTGGATCTGGTGGCGGATCCTCCCTCCTCATCAACTTCTTCTATTCCTCCTTCGATCCCAAATGCTGAGGCCCCTTCTTATGCCCAGCGTTTCAAATCGTCTCTAAGGAATCTGAAACGCATCTCCTCGCCCTCATTCCTCGAGGATGGAACTCCGGTGGTCGAGGCTCCTCCATCTGTCCTGTTACAAGCGGCGGAAACCTGGAAAGGCCACATTGTTGCTCATTTCCACGGAGCTATTCCTCCTCCGTCAGAGATTTATGCTGATTTGAACCCAGTGTGGGGGAAATTTGGTAACATCTCCATCCAGACGATTTCTAAATCCTCCTGCCTGTTCTTCATACCTTCAATCCCTACTCGTGAATGGGTTCTAGAGGTTGGTTATTGGCAAGCGGACAACTGTGCTTTCTCCTTCTTCCCCTGGTCTGCAGATTGCAAGCTTGATTCATTTGAGCTTCAGTGAGCTCCGACTTGGGCAGTCTTGAAAAATGTTCCTCCGCAAATGTATTCTCTTGATGGGATTAGTGTCCTCGCCGGGCAATTGGAGAACCGCTGCATACAGAGAAGTCGAAATTGGATCCCTACCATCTTGGTGACACGAAAGTTAAGGTCGAGATTCAACTCGACAGAACCCCTCCGAATACTGTCATTGTGAAAGATACTCAAGGTTTTTCAGTCAGGGGCAGGGTTGAGTATCCGAGGCTTCCTCCGAAGTGTTGTAACTGCAACAGGTTTGGGCATCTTCTCAATCGCTGCCCTCATCCTCTCATGAAACGCTCTTCTCCTAAGCCTTCTGCTGGCTCCATCAATCCCTTGAAATCGTCTGATGGAATCTCTCAGGAAGCTGCCCCTCCTTCTGAGTCAGACTCCGATGATCCCTCAGCGAATCGGAATCCAAGTAAGAGGGCTAGGCGTCGGGCTCGTTCGCGTGCGAGGAAGAGGTCTGTGAGTGCAAATCCGGCTTCATCCAGGGGAGTTCCTGCCACTGCTGATTCTCAGGTTCTATTGACTCTTGATCATCAGGGTATCAATTCGATTTCAGAGGATAAACGGAGTGGGAAAATGGTTGCCGTCGCTTCTAGTATGATGAAACCCCCAGGACTGAGTCTAGTTGCCTCCGATCTCTCAGCGGCCGGCAATAGTGATCATTCTGGTTTCACGAAGTATCTCTCAAAATGGGCCCTCAAGAAAGAGCGACAGAGGATTAAACATGACCTCTACGCAGCAAACTCTTCCCTTGAAAAACTCAATTCAGAAGTAGTGTCTCTCCTTAGGGGTCGTTCCTCGGGGAGGGATTGCTATCTTTCCTGATCTCTCTCTTCCTCCCCTTCTTTTTCGTTTGTATATATGAAGCTTTTGGCTTGGAATGTTAGAGGTCTAAACAGTGTCTCTAGGCAACGCGTCGTCAGGAGTTGGGTACATAGGAACAGACCGATTCTTGGTGGCTTGCTCGAACTCGGGTTAGAGAGGACAACGCTCTCAGTGTTATCTCAGCTACCTGTCCTGGCTGGCGATGGGATAATAACTACCCTTTCTCGGAAAATGGCAGGATTTGGGTGACTTGGGACCCTGCAATTTCACTCTTTGTTTTAAAAAAATAAGCTCAGTTAGTGTTGTGTGGTGTCTCAGATCCTGCTACTAACACATCTTTTGTGGTCGCATTTGTGTATGCTTTTAACACGGAGGTACTAAGGAGACAGCTTTGGGAAGAAATCTCTCTGGTAAAAAGAAGCTCGCCAACGCAGGACAAACCGTGGATACTCGTTGGAGACTTCAATCAGATTCTCTGTGCTAATGAGCATTTCTCAGTGATTCCTTACTTAATTCCTTTAAGGGGTATCGATGATTTCCACAATTGCCTAGATGCTAACGAATTGTCTGATCTCGATAGGAGGGGCGCATTCTTCACTTGGTCTAACCTTCGTCTCGAGGATCCAATCCTTCGAAAGCTGGATCGTGCCTTGGTTAACGATAGTTGGATCTCCTCCTTTCCTAATTCCTGTGCGGTTTTCGACCCCCCAGGCGATTCGGACCATTCTCCTTGCTTGGTCAGCACTGTGGATCAGGTTGAGCGTGGTGGGAAAAGTTTTAAGTATTTTTCATTTTTATCGACTCATAAGAAATTCCAGGAGTATGTGTCTGCTGCTTGGAATGAACCGGCTTGTATTGGCTCGAGTATGTTTATGCTGGGGTTGCGTATGAAGGCAGTGAAACTTTGTTGTCGGAAATTGAACAGAGAGGGTTTCAGCAACATTCAACAGCGGACTAAGGATGCTCTGGAAAAGCTTGAGGAGATTCAAACTTCACTCCTCTCCGCCCCCTCGGATCAATTGTTTCGGGAAGAGTTTGTAGCTCGGGAGAAATGGAAGTTTTTTGCAAATGCTCAGGAAACCTTCTACAAGCAAAAGTCAAGGATTCGCTGGTTGAAAGACGGTGATGCCAATACCAGGTTTTTTCATAAGGCAGTTATAGCTCACCAGGCTTCGAATGTGATCAGATATCTTCGTAATGATCAAGGGGATCGTATTGATAATATTGGGCAAATTAAAGGAATGACGATCTCTTTCTTCTCTAATCTTCTTGGTTCAGTGGATACGAATGTGAGACCTTATTCAGTTGAGCAGATTCGTGAGATCCATCCCTTCAGATGCCCGACTTCTCTAGCATCTGAGTTGGTTGAGATCCCCTCTGACGATGAGATTAAACAAACTTTCTTCAAAATGCCCAAGAACAAGGCTCCAGGACCTGATGGGTTTCCTGTTGAGTTCTTCTTGGAGGCCTGGGATACTGTTGGTGCTGAATCGATTAAGGCGGTGAAGGATTTTTTCAACTCAGGTCATCTGGTGAAGAGATTCAATGCCACTACCATTGCCCTAATCCCAAAGATAGTGGGAGCAGACCATTTAACTCAGTTTCGCCCCATCTCTCTATGCTCTACAGTTTATAAGGTCATCACCAGGATTTTAAAGAAGAGACTCAAGCGTGTTGTCCCTCTAGCTGTTCTGGGGAATCAGGTGGGTTTTCTTAAAGGAAGATTGTTATGTGAGAACGTTCTTCTAGCTTCTGAGTTAGTGACTGATTTTCACAAGCATGGTACTACTTCTCGAGGGTGCCTCCAAGTCGACCTCACAAAGGCTTACGACAACCTCAGTTGGGATTTCATTCTTAACGTGCTTACTGCCTTGGAATTCCCTGAGCTATTCGTCACTTGGATCAGGGTTTGTATCACATCTCCCTCTTATAGTATTGCTTTCAATGGCGAATTAAT